CCCTTAGAATTTCCTTTGGACCACTGGGATCACACTGTTAACATTCCTGTAAATGATCCACTCTTAATACACCCAGGTCGACTCAAGTATCTTCATGGTGAACTTTAATCATTATTATATGAGACACTGAAATAGGCTGAAACATTGAACTTTATCCCCCCACAGGCTGCAGTTTATCAGTGAGTTTTACAGTGCTCATGTATAAGAGCAAGGCTTTAATATGCCTCTACTGCATCCAGACTTCTGACAACTATCCCTGATTTGTTATTACCATTTCAAATTATTTCCAAATAATCAATATTGAAATTTAAGATGTGAAAAGAGATTTTTCAAATCACAAACGTCTTTTTTTCTAATTTGTATATGGTGAGTTCAAGACTTTTGATCCTGTCACAATAGACTGAATACAAACAATAGTGAAATTCCCCTATTTAAACATGGTTTGTTTTTATGGTAGACCATTTCAGCCCACAGTGATCTGTGTGTTGAATGCTGCTTAACCTGCTTTGTTCTCTACCATCACCTCCACCAAAAAAAAAAAATCCATCTCCTTGTCCTTTTGGAGTGGTTATGGCTGAGAAGCAGTCCATATTATATGATGCTAAATAGTGTCTTCTGCTTTTTCATTGTGTTGGATTTACCTTCTGATGATCACTGCTCACCAGGAAAGGGCCTTTCAAAGAAAACAATCATGCAAGAAATTAGGAGAACAAAGTCATGATAAATATCCAGGTTAATTATTTAATTCAATGTAAAAAGGCTGAAAACCTAGTGGTCTGGTGGAATAATGGAGGCTTTTGACATATTTAGCCTGTTTGGAATTACTCTGGCAAAGAAAATACTGGCCTAAATTCAATGAGGAAAAATAAAAAGTCCAAGATCAGATAAACCCTGTGTAGCTGTGGCATAGTGGTTATGCTAAGAGTTCACTAAATCACCTATAATACAATGTGGTTATTTAAAGGTATGCTTCTTTCCTAATTTTTGGAGCTGTGTAAACAAAATTACTTGTGTCAGAGATAAACACAGGTTATTCCTACCTGTTAAAACTAATTGCAGGGGTTTTCAAAGAGCCTGCTTTTTTAGCCTTATTACATCTCTGACATACATTTCATCTCCTTTTGTCCTTGGGGAAAGATGTTAAAGTAGGAATCGAAACATTAATGTAGAGTCTTCAGCTGTCGTGGTCACTGGGAAGATTGATATATTTCCCTTGCCATTTCTGCATTTTGAGCCTAAAGCAGTCTCTTGGCAGACAGTGAGATAGGAGAGCCCTCTTAGTTTTTATAACCCTGTTAAGTTTTTTCATACTATGCTAATTCCTATAAGGACTAAATGGAGTATAATCCAATAATGGGTCTTCATTTTTTGCTTTTTAGAGTGGCTACTTGATTTACATGAAAGCCATAATTCAATTCATGACTTTACCATATGGGCTCAGAGTTATAAGGCAAAATGTAAATAGGCTTATAAATAATACTGCATATCATTAGTATCATTAATTAGCATCACACGTTTATCTTGAATACAAGATGCTACACAAAGACAGCAAACTATTAGTTGAAGAGTACGTGTAACCATTCCTCTTCCTTATAAGTTACGAATATGAAATTTACACTTCCATGTACATAACTAGCATGAAAATTGTTTTTAAAAAAGTCTTTGTCATCAGAGAACAGAGTGAAAAATACATCTTTTAGTATAAAAATGTTTTAAAATACCCTAAGCATTATTTTATAGTCAACTATGTATTAACATGATATGCAAAACCACATTTTCAACATGACACCAAAATTTTGTCATGCTATCAGTTATACCTTAAATATATATTTGGAAATTAATTAGATGGTTACCCTAGGATGACAAAAAGCTCATTTTTTTTAGAAATACAGAAAGGTAACTTTTGTAATCATCTCTACCAGGCTGAGTCATTAGAGAATAAATATTAAAGAGAATGATAGTATTTTGTGTCCTCACACTCCTAATACCAGATAGCAGATCATATCAGAAATAGTAACCTTATCTTGAAGTGGAGTGACTTTCAGGACTGTGGCTATAGTCATGAACATATCCAACATTGTGTAGGCAAATACCAAAAAAAAGATGATCACCAGTTTATTTATATCAAAGTTGTGATATAAGTAATCAATACAAATCAATATAAATTGGGTAATCAATACAAATTGTGCTTTCCCTTTGTAACTGTAATTCAACGGCACAAACAGTGTATGTTTCAGACCTAGAGTAACATAGCCAAAGTGATGCATTGAGGCTCACCAACATGAGTAGTTTTCTACTTGAAATGACAATGAGTCATTTAAGTGTGTGAATCAGTCATACAAACAGTGCTGCAGCTGGTGAGCTCATGACCATTTTTTCACTTCACAAATGTTTAGTTTGCCTTTCTTTGTATTTGTTAGTCTTGTTATGATGGTTTGTGGATAGCAAGGGAGTTTTTGTAGTGTTTGTTGAGAGTGTATGTCAATGAAAGCATTATTAGCTAACATGAGAAAAAGCAATTCAAGTTTCTCGTTTGCATATAGACATGATACATTTGAATGTCTTATCTTTATGCATATGTTCTGTTTTAGTTAAAGTGCGTACATGATGACTATTGTAGCAAAATCTATGCTTTGCTCAGATAAATTTAGTAGAATTGAATTAATGTCTTCCCACATTTTTGATGTGACAGTCGTATTTTAATAGCAAAACATATACATGAAGGGTTTGTTTAATTTCTAAATCAAAGTTCTGTGGGCAGATGATTGAAATCTGAAGATGACTCAGATTCATTTGATATGTGGATTTCTTCCTACAGAAATGTTACAGTAGTCTGTACCATTCTCATGTTAGAAATATCATAGCAGTAATAAGAAAAAGAAATGTAGTTTTTACATGCACCCAGAATTCTATCAATTATCTTTTTTATCTGATTCTGAATTAATTAGTAGACTTTGAGGAGGCTTTAATGTTTTTTTTTAATCAGTGTATCTTTTAAAATATTTATTTTAAAACACACATTTGGTCAGTAAATATTAAACTTGGGGGAGGTTATGAAAGATTTTGTGATTTGCCCTTTTTCTTTTTTCACAAAAGAAAGTAGTTTACCCATTGAACATGGATAAAACATGTTTTTTTTTCTGAAAATATTATTCTGCAATGGTAAATCATCACAGTAAGGGAATATATAACCACACCAAAGTGAAACCAGTTTTATTTTGTTTGTATTTTCCATTTTATAATACAGTCATTAAAATTTCATTAAAGTGATATTGAACTGGATTTTTATCATTTTTTAATAGTAGTTAAAACCTACTTTGCTATTCCTTAGTATCCCTTATCTGAAACATTCAAAAGACTCTCTCTGTGTGGGGTGTTGCAGCACAACAGAATAGGACAGCTCTGTACAGAGAAGGAAGTGGAGAGTTTTGGTTCCCATTTTACGCTTCTGGAACAGTTTAGGGAAGGAAGCACCTTTACACCTTTTATTGTTAGTGGTTGCTGACATCATATCCTTCCCTGACCACTCTGTGCGTGTTTCCTGCTATTCTGTCAAGATTCTTCTATGTTACAGGGAGGGATAAGGAGGGAGGGAGGGAGGGAGGGAAAGAGGAGGGGGGAAGGAGAGGAGAGAGAGAGAGAGAGAGAGAGAGAGAGAGAGAGAGAGAGAGAGAGAGAGAGAGAGAGAGAGAGAGAGAGAGAGAAGGAAAGACTGAAGGAGGAGTAGAGAGGGAGAAAAGAGAGTAAGGGGAGAAGAAGCAGAGACAGAGAGAAAAGAAGAAAGAGAGACACACACACAGAGAAGGAAGGCAGGAGGGAGAGAGACAGAAACAGAGAGCATGTGCTTGAGTGTATACGAAAGAAAGGAGGTGGGTAAATAATCTGTAGCATCTGTCCACAACTTTTCTCTGCTTGAGTTTCAAATCATTCTTCCTTCATCTATTTGCTTATGACAAATCATATAATGAACAGAAGCCTGCCATAGTGAAGTTCCTCTTTTTAGTAAGCAGTCTGATTTTATTTTTTCTTATATTTGGGTATGAAAAAATAAAAACATGCTGAAGACTCTATAGGAGTAAGGATGATAGAGTTGTGTTGGATTTTTTAATTATTATTTCCGATTGTACAGCTATAGCTATGTTATTATTGAAGAATATCTTTTATGTGGAGAGTTATTTCAGCAAAGCTTCTGAAATTATTTTAAGCTTTTTACAGATTATTCATAGAGCTTCTAGGCTAGTAGGAAATTCAATTACACTTGGCTATCCTGAAAGCCTTTATTTTTATATAAACTTTTAAAAGTTTTGCAGATTGAAGAAGCAATGTAGCCATCTGTCCTCTTCTTGTCCATTTTAATATGTTTAATATGTTAGTTTAAACATAAGGCTTAGAGTCAGAGAAGTAGTTGTGTAACTAAAACAGGTGGTGGGCAATTGTTGACCTTTCTAATTCGTAACATTCTCACTGACAACCCTGGAATGTAGTGACCCATGAATCAGATGTTCTAAACCACACACTTCAGGACAGACACAATTTGCTGGGTCTGGATAGCTACTGGTTATATCCTCCTAGCCACATTATCACTTATACACATAATTGCATTAAAGAAATTTCAAAATAAGCTCTAAGTAGATACTAGAAAGAGAATACAAAAGGAAACTGTACCTATATTTTACATTTCAGGAAATACACATTTTTTAATAGAGAGAAAGATGACAGTTTCATTTCTTGAAAGTTAAACTTATTTCTCCTAGAGCTACCTGCAAATAACGTACAACACATTTTGATGAAGAAATTATCTCAAATAATATTTTCACCTAGCAATGCATTTTGAAATATATCTTTTAAAATAATAATAATAATGGTCCAATTTGGAAAAAAAAAGATCTCTTCATCTAGGCTGTTTGAAAAATGTCTCCTGTTTAAAATATTGGTGTGAAACATATGGTCGATATGGGAGGGGCTCTTCATAACTTGAGTTCATCAAGAGCTGCCTATGCTACTCTTGGAAGACTTTCAGAGCCCTGATGCTTCTCTCCTCATTCAGTTTCAAAATCTTGATCTGTAAAGGAGCTCTCATTCTCACTAACCCTGTCACCACTACTCTAATCTGTCCACCATGACCTTCCACCTTGAAGTGAAAAAGAGCTTAGACAGGCGTAGTGCTATAAGCCGATAGAGTCACTAGCTTCAGTTGAATGAAAGAAGGGAAATTGTTGTATGTGCATTTGCTGTGGATTCGTGTTTTGGAAAGCCTGTTAGTTTCTTTTGGTTCTTGCATGTGTTTGGGAAACACTATTCTAACTTGCTGTTTGTATTTAAGGTAAGACTTTAGGAAACACAGGAAAGCAATACAGTTGACTGATATTTAATACTTTCTAAAAATAGATGGATATTGTTTGGCAACAGTGAATGTGTGATACAATTATGTTTTGCAGGTTTTCATATTTTAAAGTATAGTTTAATACTTTTAACAGCAAATGTTGGAAGATATTGTTAGTTATGACTATGTCAATATATGCTATTTGTATATTATAAAAACTTTTGAACCATTTCTAGTTCCTAAAGAAACAGCTGTAGTAATAGTTCTTGTTTATTACATCGTGGTCTTGATGTTACTCACCCTATATATACTCTGAGCCAAAATCAAGCATGGATTTTCTACAAAGGCATTTGGCAAAAGGGAATAGGTATTCTTAGTGTCTGAGCACTGTTTAATCCACTAGAACTAATTATATCATAATAGCTATTGCAATTAGCTGATCATAAAAAAAGCTTAATTTTTAAATGTTCATTCAAGGTGATAAAGTATTTAACAGTTAATGCAAAGAAATCAAAAGGTAACTGAATATCAGAATAAGTGTATAACAGCTTTTCTGCTCCAATAATTTTGAATTGGAGCCAAATAATAGATTAAATAGGCAGGACATTGGCTTAATGTTATATAACATATTGTAGGAATTTATCAGTTTGGTTGTCAGAACAGCAAGTAAAAAATAAACAGGGAAATTCCAAGCTATGTGTAAAATAGTTAAATATTCCATATGAAAATAGATAGAATTAGGAAATTTATTGCTTCTACATAAAGAGCCTGGTATGAAAGGTTTTTTTTTTCCCTTGTTTGCTTTCATATTTTGTGGAGCCTGGGTTTTCTCAAATAAAAACTTAAGAAAAGGCATTAAAGATACAAAGGAATATGCAGATTTATAAGGTTCTGTTTTCTTGGGTTTATTATATTATTTTTTTTCTTTTAACTTTTTTTTCTAAAGAATGATTTGACAAGCTTCTATAAGTAATCTTTTATAAAATTGTTTTGCCATGTACTCTTTTGGCCTCTTCTAGCAATAGGTTCATGATTTTGTACACATATAAATTAAATTACAAATGTACCAGTATTTCCATTTGCATAACTTTTATTACTGACCACTTCTTTCATTTTTTTATTGATTTCATATGTGATGCAAAGTGTCTTCAATGTGAAAACAAACATCAGTACTCAAATAGAGAGAGGTTTATTTTTTGGGGTTTTTTTACATATGTACCAATTCATAATTGGTACATACAAATACGTATCAGTGTAGTATATTTTAGAAATTCATAGCATGAATTCATTGATATATCCCATATTGTGTTTTCTGGTATTCTCTGGTATGGGGGTTTGTGTTTGCATATGTGATTTTTAAAAATGAGATTAAAGGATTTAGATTTAAACTAGTTGACATTTCCATATATCAAATACCACTTTAATAATGGTCCATCCTATTTGCATAACTAGGGACATTATCACCTCTGCTGTCAAAACACAAGATTGTTTTCTCTTCAGAAATGAATTAGCTGCCCTACTTAGCATACTCAGGTGTAGAAAGGTTCATTAACTCTCTGATTTAGGTACTTTGTCATATTTTAATAGTGAATAATAAAAAAGAAACACCTCATTCCATAAAAACATTAAGAAACACTTTGGAAGAGATATTATTGAAATATCAGGCTTTAAGGCATAGTTTTCATAATTTTAATAACTTATTAAATTAATTATGAGATAATTTTAATTATAAAAATAAACTGTTCATAGTTAATATGGCTTTACATATATGATAGAACTTTAATAAATGCTTGTTTTCATTTATTTTATTTGTACTATTCCCTATTATCTCATTGATAAAAATAAGACAAGTTTATGAAGCTAGCTTGCTTTTTATTTATTTTATGGTAATGTTTAATTTTTCTGTGTTTTATATTTAGCAGGAACGAATGCAGGGATCTGTGAATTGAGTAGTGCAAGTGCTGAAGAAGGAGGTTTGTTTGGAGGAAACAGGAAAGAGAAAGAAAAGAGAAGGAAAAAATACATAATTTTAGGAACGAGAGAGAGAAGAAAAACGGGGACTATGGGGAGAAAAAAGATTCAGATCACGAGGATTATGGATGAACGTAACAGACAGGTAAGTAATTTGAAATTTTATTTGTGTTATCGCTTCTACCATATTATTTGCTTTCTCCTCAAGAGTTTTAAAGTGTTGAGAACATTTTGAACTTATATTGCTATGTCAATAAATCTAAGATAAGAAAAATGTTGGCTTATTAAGTAGAGTCATATTTATAATGTGTTATGTTTTCTGTTATGAGCTTTTAAAATTCATTCTCTTGTATGTACAGGAAAAGTTCTGTTACCTTTTAGAAAGACAACTGGATCGTATTTTATTTTTTTCTAAATAAACCTTCCACTTCAATATGGATTTCAAATGGGAGTAGTACTATGGAACACATGTTTAGCTTAATAATCAACAGTTAATAAGCATAATATTGCTAGATTACATGCATCATCAAACAAAAATCCTCTTATAGTGTTAGGAAGCAGATTTTCCATGATTGTAAATTTAATGGTTTGTGAATTCAGACAACTAGCCTCCACATAGCTATATTCATTCTACTCACTAGAAAGTTGACTGGGGGCTGGATGCAATAGTAGCATTTTAACATTCATACATGCTTTGGTAACTTAAACTATACAGAGAGGAAAAAAAAAACACAGCATTTTAATTAAATCTCTTTAACATTTGGTAATGTATAAAAGGAGCAAAAGACAATTGTGAAGAAAGTGCTCTAGGGACCTAATGATAATGTCTACATAACTAGGGATAACCTGCTCTGAGTGTTCTCTGAGTCCGAAGAGAGTACTTGAAGGCTTCAGTGATAGTTTTTATAATATTATGAAAATCCAAATGTTTTGATTTTCAAGTCAATAATATGTTTAGTAAGTAGGAAGTGTGAGGGATATAAAAGTTGTGTTGTATTTAATCTCTGATCTCAGTGAGTTGATGAAATAAAAGGGAAGACAAAATTTAACTGTGAAACAGTTAAATTTTGTAAGAATGGGTAAGGATGAATGTAGTGCCCTCTTAAACAGTCCAGGATTGAAGGGAAGCGAATCATCCTTGCAAATGGACACCATACTGGTATGTGACAGTGCTATACTTTATGGCTTAGAGTAAGTCTTATGTAGTGGATGCTGGATCTGGACTTAGTAGACTCATGTTTCAACCCTGTCACTTTCTGTGTGACCTTGGCCAAGTCACAACTTTTCTGGGCCTCAGTTTCCTCATTGGTCAAATGATATCATTGGATGATGATTCTCTGTGTTACTTCTAGTTCTAAATCCATTCTCCTATTACCTTGATTATGTCTAAGCACAGAGGAGGCACAGACTATGGATGGAGCAGAACAGATCTGCTATAGCAAAGCTATAGGGACAGTAAGGAAAGCTGATAGGATATTGTTTACTTTTTAATGTCTCTTCATTCCCTAATTCTCCATTTTTCTCAAGTGAAAATAGCATATCTCCCTTATATGTACTGGGTCCACAAGGAAAGGCATGATATACAGCACCTTTCTGGGGCCTACAATGAAAATGTCTATGATGACTACTTTATGCATAAATTATCACCTATATTAAATTATGTTTATCTCTAAGTCATTAAAAACCAAAGAGCACTCAGGAAAAAAGCAATTCAAAATTTTGTGTGAGTTTTTTTTTTAATTCCTGTTTTCAAGCATGTCTTCCACTAAATTTGTATATGCTTTGGTGTATGTACAACATGGGCTATTTGTGGCAGAAAATTAAGTTTAAAAAGCAGGCAACAATATGGTTTTATGATGGAAATATTTTCCGTTTTCTCTGTAAGTTGTTTATTGTTGTTGGCTATGCCAGAAAGCAACTACTCTGTCTACCATGTTTGTTTTAATTAATTAACTGTTAGGAATGAAAATTAAAACTAAAATATTGCTTAGCAATGGACTCTGCACATTTCACTGATATCTTTATACTTTGTTTAAAATGTTTGTTATACTTTATATTTTGTTTAAAATGTTCTGAATTAATGTTATAAGAATAGGAACTGTCTCTTTGATTTTATTGGTATAGGGAAATCCCAGATGAAGAAACTCCCTCTAGCAATGCAGAGTGGGAGCCTCTATGCCACCTAAAGTCTATCAGGGTCTCTGGGATCACACAAAGTCATTGCATGTCAGAGCTGAGATTTGAATCCATGCCTGACTGATTTTCTTTCCACTATGCCAAGCAATTATTAATAATGAGAAGTAATTTTTACCTTAATAAAATTAGCTTAGAAAGTTACCTTTAATAAAAAGAAAGGACAAGTCTCATGGATAGTTAAATCTCCAACATTCATGGCCTTTAAATGGGCTTTGTAAAGAAAGCAATATAATATTCAAACAGGGATGCAAAATTTTTAATACTATCCTTCAGAGCTAATCACTAAAAAAATCTTTCCTGGCAGTTAGAGATGCTTATGCCATTCTTAGCTATAATATTGAAAATCAGTTATTCTAGAGTAAAAATGCACTTACTTAAATTCTGTGTCAGGCTTTTATTGGGAAAATGAGGTACATTTTCTATTGTTTTTTAGAAGCCAACTAATACCTAGAGGACATATTCTTAAGAACGTGTATTTTGTTTTCTTCCTGCTTGCTTTTAGGTAAAGGACAATAGACTCAAATTTGATACTAATAAGTCAGTAAAAAAACAGAGTAATGTCTGACCTCCTATAATGTATATTCTAGTGAGGAGGTTAGACTTTTTTCTTTGATAAAGAGACCTTCTTATACATTGATGAATACATGGTTGTCACCCGCTTCTTCCATGGAAATGATCATGAGCCACTTGAGAAAGGCCAAAAGGATAGGCCTCACAAGATCTCATTAAAATACAAGGCAACTGCTGGCTGCCGTGCATACTGTCATGTCATAAAGTATTCTTAACCTTTGTCTCCTTTAAACTATGTGTTAATACATTGTAAGGTAAAGGAAGGTATTATTAATTTTGTCATTTCTTTCACATCTCCCTCTTCCCGATGAGCTCCCCAATAGATTGTCCCAATAGAGGCTTGACTGCCATATTTTCTTAAAAGTGGTGAAAGTACTCAGAAAATAAAGGAGTTTCTTTGGATACACTCATATAAAAGTATTTTCTTACCATTATAAGAAATATAGACATAAAATGCGAAGAAAAATTGGAGGTAAAATTTAAAGTTATATGAAGAAAAATCAACATTTTAAAATACAGTACAATTAAATGTTTTAAAATGCATATTACCAGATACCCTTTATTTTTAATAATAGAGATACTATATAGCTAAAAGTCTAAAACATTTCATAAATCTCCTTTTGTACAATAAATGTTTTTAGGTTAAAAAAACTACAAATTACATAGGAAATATAGTTAAAGATATCAAAATTATTAACTATTCACTATGAATTTCTAACCTGATAAAAAAGATTTATTTTCTTCAGCTTATACTTTCAGAGATATACTTTAAAATATCTAAGATAGCATGATACATCAGGTGGGTAGGTGGTATAGTAGATAGAGTTTTTGGGCCTGCAATCAGGAAGATTCATCTTTCTGAGTTCTAGTCTGGACTCAGACACTTATTAACTGTGTGACCCTGGGCAAGTCACTTTATCCTGTCTGCCTCAGTTTTCTCATCTGTAAAATGAGCTAGAAAAAGAAATCGCAAACTATTCCAGTACCTTGTCAAGAAAACCCCACATGGTGTTGTAAAAATTCAGACATGGCTGAAAAATGGCTCAACAACAAAGCATGGTACAGTGGAAAGAGTACAACTCTAAAGTGAGAAGAATGGAGTTCAAATCATTCCTCTGATTTTGACTTCCTGGGTAACATCGGGCATTTCACTTGACCTCTGTGGGAAACAATTTTCTGAGCCCTGAACTTTGTTTTAAGGGATAGGCTTAAGCCTACTAGGTTCCAGGGGATCAGGGAACTAATATTGAAGGAAAAACTCTAAGAACTTATTGGGGGACTTAGGAATGGGCAGAAGGCTAGAGAAATGATAACAGAATCAAAGAAGGCTGGTTGCACTGGAGGTTTGTGGATAATGGTGGAAAGATTATGTAGAATTATTATGGGGAAGCAGATGGGGAAGCAGATGGCCTGTTGGGTGAGTGGGAAGGGGTATCTTTCTACAAGGCTTTTGGGCCCTGACTTTAAACTTATAGTAATGAATAGAACATTTTGCGTACACAAACTTATCATAATAGCTTACCAACTATGTATTCAAAGAGATTCCAACTCAGAGGTGTGATTAGGAATTTTTGTACCTGGGGCAAACAGAACTAAAAACACCCTGAGTTTCTGGAGTTTGGGAAAGAAGATGCAGATCCACACATCCACACACACACCCCACCTGCCATTTCCAGAAGAGAGAGACACTCCAAGATATTATGAGGCTGCTGTTGTGAAGGGACACTAACTGTCCTGTCTCGCAAGGAATGCAGCCATTCGGTAGCTTCCTATTCAAACTAATTAGTTTTGATAGTTTTTTTTCACACTGGCATTCAAAAAGCACAGAGAGGTTGGGGAATTTTTGGGTGAGGGAGTGATTACTCTTAGAGCAGACAGACAGATAGAAGATTTTGAAGAGAAGCAGGGCTGAAATAGGAGTTGAGATTTTACACACACACACACACACACACACACACACACACACACACCCCCCTATAATAATGTATAATATTAGAATTGAAAGGGACCTTAAGAATCAACTATTGATTTTACAGAAGAAAACAATGAGGTTCAAAGGAGAGAAAGTAATATCCAAAGTTACAGAGGAAGGCACATTTAAGTCAGTTAGTTTGTGGCTGGGCTGAGAGAGTCATATGAAGCCCACATCTCATAGTTTGAGACTATTAGAGCTTAACTTTGCCCAACACTCTTATTTAATATAGGAGGAAATAGAGATCCACAGTTGATTTCAGAACCGTCACCAGCATGTAGTTCTCTTGACTCCCAATTTACCATTTTCAGTAAATTCATCAAAATTTTGGCTCCTTTGGAGATAAGGTCACTGATCTATATTTGTTGTTGTTGTTGATTTGTGTCTGAGTCATCATGACCCCATTT